TCAATATTAAAGTTTTAACTTAAACATTAGTATTTTTAATACATTAATGGAAAATAAAATGCATGTATTTAGAAGGTGGAGAGAGGTAGAGATAGAAATAGATAGACAAAGAGATAGGGGGAGGGAAAGAGACATTAGATTTAGATGGTTTGTTGGGTATGTGTGATAGATGAGAAAATGTTTTAGGAGAGGGAGATAGTTTAGGAAAAATTTTAGGAGAGGAGATGATCATATGATGTAGGTGATTGGAAGAGAGAGAGAGAGAGAGAGAGACAAAGAGAGATTTAAGATTTGAATAGTTGAGAGGAAAGATGAAGTGGAAGGATAAGATAGGCTTAGGAATGGTGACAGAGTAGGTTCGAGAAGGGTTTTGTAAATTCTAAACCCTACCCGCCTTCTGAAACCGCCCAGCCCATAGCGGGTTTGATTTTGAGAATCCAAACCCTCCCTACACATGAAAATGCAAAACTCTCCCCAACCCAATCCCTCCCAGCATTCAAGGATAGGGTGGGTTGGCTTTGAACCCTCGTATAATTTCTTATTATTTTTTTGTTACATAAAAACAACAAATAAGTAAAATAACATAAACAAACAACAAAATTTTCAATTATTTGATTATGACATGTAAAAATCACATAGGCTATCAATTATCCTTCACATAAAATTCAAACAATTATTAAATTCAACACCTAATAGATAAAGTTCATTTGCTTTTCAACAATATGCAGGTCATGGAGGGCCAGGTTTAGCCTAATACAGTGACCTACTGGTACCAAAATGGGTTGTAGAATTACAAAACCTGTCCCCGCCCAAAAATCTATTCTTCAAGTAAAAAAGGGGCAGGTATCCACAAGATAGGGTAGAAATTGCCATCCCTAAATTGGCTTAACCCCTGAGTTCAATTTGGAAGACTACAAATACAAATATGTAAAGTGCAAAACCTTATATTTTTGTATTATTTTGTATGTATTTGTGCTGTACATATTTGTATTTATACGCCTTTCAAACTGAGTTCTAGTGACTTAAGTAGGGGGGCTGGGAAAGGGGACAGAGAAATAAAGAAAAAAAAAAGGGTTTAGAGAAAGAAAAATGCTAACATGAACCACTTTACTTTTTACTTTATATATATTGTATAAATGAGGATACCCATTACCCAACCCAGCGTAGTATTTCTTTTAATAAAATTTACCTATTTAATTTATTATTCATTGTGTTTTGTTAAAATGGTACGCGTTAATTCATTCTATTGATACCCTGCACTGATGCAACAAAATATATCTTTCGACGTTGAGGGAATAAACCCAGATTATATTTTCTTATTCTTATTATTTTTTCAAGTAATATTTTAGTGTTTGAAGTTTTGGAGACAGCTAAGTTGAGTTCATTTACCACAACAAACCAACCACTTTGTAATCACAACATTTTATACGTTAACAACCCACATTTATCAAATAATGTATTGAAGAACCAACCTGGTTTCATGATTCCTAACTTTACAAGGATTGCTAATAAGCGCGATTATTTTTATCTTGCACTGCATTCGCCATTTGGTTTCTTAAAAAAAAAAAAAAATCCTTACTTAACTGTGGTTGCAAATGAATGAAAATAATATTAGCTGTGCCTTCAAGCAAATTGGAAGGCTATAGAACTGAAATCATGAAGCCACTACGCTACAAAACTATGAAGAACGACTTTGACTTATCAATGTTACCAACGAAAAGCCCAATATCAAGATGGATCAGCAGTTTTCGATGCACGCCAATGTGAAGTCAAATCATTTTAAAATTGGGCTTTGTTAGGGATCCCACTCTTAGCCCATAATGTCAATCATCCATCTCATCCAGAGGCCTGATGGAGGAAAATGGAACAAAACCTGAACCAGGAATTTATTTTATGGATTAAACCTCATTTTCTAGTACAGCCAGTAAGAAGATTTTGTAAGCTAGGTCCTTTAACTGTACAAAGTGATTAACCAGTTATGTTCTCGACTCAATGACTAAGACTAACTAGGCCGAGTTACGTAACTACCAAAGATCAAACTCAATTTGAAACCTTTTTTTATTCTTGAGTTTTGGGCCGTGGGAATTATAAAAATAAGCCAAAAAGTTCTTTGACCGTTTGGTAGGAGTTACTTTTAAAATTATAATAATTTAAAGTCAAAACACTTTTAATGTCAGAAGCACAAACCCTAAAGTTGGGCTTCGTGCTCTTCTTGGGCTTTAAAGTTTATCTAAACACAACCTTAATTTATTGATTGTGATCTTATACGTTGTACTCTTTTAATTTTTGACATTAACACAGCAATTCGTCGGCTCATTCTTATGGGGCTGTCTACTGTTTTCTTCTTTTCTTTTTTAACCTTCACAAGGGCCTTCTGTGAAACAGGAAATAGGCTTCTACTTATTTGTTATCTGTGTTGTCTGACTCGGATCGTAGCTTTTTTAATGCTCTATTCTTTTAATTTGTTCATTTTATTTTATTTTTATTTGAACAAGATGAGTGGTTAATCGGACCATCTGACTGCCAATCCGTAACCCGATATGACTATAGTGGTTTTATATCGGATCCAACTTCACAATAGTAATTTTATTTATTTAAGACACTCCAGTTTTTTATTCTCTTAAACTTACTCTTACTTTTTAATGCCTCCAATGACCCCTTATTGGACATTTGCCATTGGAAACCAAGGTTTTGTAAGATTACAATTATGTCCCTCCCTTCAAATTCCATCTTTTGAACCAAAATTCTAAAAATAGGCTTTTCCATACGCTCAAAATGAACTCTTGATGGATAAAAGGAATGGGTGGTGGGTTGTGAGATGAGTTAACATGAAATAGTCAATGAAATAGGGTAAAAAAAATAAACCAAGGGTATTTTTATTATGTAAAAATAATTAATAAAATAGACTGGTTGGTTAAGGTTAACTTTGTCATTAAAAGATAAAAATGGCACATGTAGACCAGTTCTATCAAGGTCTCCACTAACAATAATTTCACCGAAGGTACATATGTTATAAATAGAAATCTGTGACAGTAGGCTCTCGAAGGTAAGTGCAGGCGCTTGGACCAATCAAATGCTCAACCCGAATCCACCCAAGTTGCAGTTGTACTCTGGAGGTGTCTAGAAGGCAGAAGAAGGATAAATTTAAGGGGGTATTATTTTTTTGGAGTTTGAAAGGGAGGAAAGTTGATCAATGGGATTTTGGTTTTTATTGACCAAAAAATACATGTTCTTTTTTTTATATTTATGTGGGGATCACGGAAAATTTATTTTCTTGGGTAAGTGATATCCATCTCCTTTCCTATCTGGGGGAAATTGTCAAACTTGAATAGAACAAAAATATCTCTTTTAATATTGGATTTTTGAGGTTAAAATGGTCATTGTCTTATTTACCTGAGAAATAAAAGAACATGGATAAATACACTTAGTTATTTATTTGGAAAAGAAGTTGAAAGCATTCCACATTTATATTTCATCTGCATAGATCTGTTCATGGTCTGGGTTTAGACTTATTTTTGCCAAATTTTTTAAATGGGCCTAACCCAGAACCCCAATCCAAAATAGGGTAAAATATTTATGGGCCAAGCTCAAAGCCTGGTCTACTTCTGCACCTTTTTCTACGTAAGAAACTTGATCTCAAAGTTACTTAAATGTCAATAAACACTCCTTTTAATCCTTTGCCCATTTTTTAGTTAAGGCTCAGTTTGAGAAGAGTATAAATACAAATATTTTACAGTGCAAATGTAAAATTTAAAACTAGCACCGTTACATATTTATATTTATATTCTTTCCAAATTGAGCCTAAAAGTCAGAGGAACGGTATTGGGCAAAAGTGGATTCTAGGAGGGTATGCATAAGCCATAACCAGTCCAGAGGGTCCGGGTCCACATGGTTATTCCACGTGCAGAATGGGTGGTACAGAAATATAAGTTTAATTAGCCCGAATTAAACCTATCTTTTTCCTTTTTTATAGTGAATGAATTAAAAGCAACTTATAATATGAGATTTTGCTATTAAATGCATGCAGGAATTAATGCCTTATAATATTTAGCTGACCACAAGAAAAGATACTAATAAAGGAAATAAATTTATTATATTCCGAGAGCTGACTCAGAATTAAAAAATTAAAAAAAAAAAACAACAACAGGGATGATAGATTCGAGAGACATGTCCCAGATGAACGAGAGAGCGGTTTCAAAGTATAAAGAGTAGTTTTGATTTTAGGTAAAAATTACGTATAGCTACCCTGTGTTTAGGGGATATTGGTACTTACCTCCCCTTTACGTTGTATTGCAATAATGACCCTTCCAATTTCAGCACTTTGCCTTGGCCGCATTCTTCATTCCTCATTTAATTTCGTGAAATATTTCCTTAAATATTTCTAAAATGTTGAATTATCCTTATATTATTTTATGACTATTTTGTCCTTCTGGCCGAGTTTTCAAAAATCTTAATTCTTACATACTCTCTCAAGTCTCAACTTTCTTCCTTCAGAGTTCAATTTGATAATGCCTTGAGAATAATCGTATGTATTTAGTGTTTATTAGTACCATGAGAATATGTATGGAGCATTAGTTTTCATCATGGTTTGTTACACAGTATGTGATATATATATATAGTGCAAGCAGCCTATTCGTATGTATTAACACCTTGTTTTGAGTGTATTAACACTTTGAATTAATGATTTATACTTTAGAATAATTATCTTTGTCATTTTGATATTTGTTGTATTGAAATTGAAGGGACAATTTAATAATTTTACTTTCACCATTAATGAAAACTTCATTAGTGGTTAGGGGTAAAGTGCTGGAATCTAGAAATTAAGGATCTTTGTCAAAAGAAAAAAAAAAAGCTAAGGGAACAAAGTGTTACAACCCCTAAGTACAGGGTGGGTATCTGTAAATTACCTACCAACTGCAGAAGAAGCGGTTTCCGGAATAAGAGAAAAGGGTAATATATCTGTATAATAATTAATAATAATAAAAGGTATGAAGGACAGTTAGCACCCATCTTTGGACTTTGGCGCCTGCTACAGGTGGCGAAATCTACTGTCAACTACTCGTGAAAAAACGCATTAAAGTTTGAGATCCGAAGCCAAGGCGATTTCTTTCGCAGAGCAGAGAACAGAGATGGTATATTGATTTGATTAGGGCTTACCGGCTAAGCGCCTGCTACAGGTGGCGAAATCTACTGTCAACTACTCGTGAAAAAACGCATTAAAGTTTGAGATCCGAAGCCAAGGCGATTTCTTTCGCAGAGCAGAGAACAGAGATGGTATATTGATTTGATTAGGGCTTACCGGCTAAGATTCGGACATCCATTCATTCAGGAATTCTAAAAGAAAATAAGCCAATGGGTCGCTCAGACTTTCTCGCGGTTCTTCTTTTTTCAGCTCTTTTGGCCGTCTCCTTTTCTCAAGGTTCTTCTTTGTGAGAATTTTTTTGTTTTCTTGTTGTTCAGACGCTTTTTCTTTCTCCGATTCTCTCTTAATTCTGTTCTCCATGTGTAGGGTATGGAAGAAAATATGTGTCTTTTCAGAGGGAAGATTCTTCTGTGGTACTAAAAGTGGGTGCTCTCTGTCTCTTTCTTTCTCTCCGTTCTTTCTGTTTTCTATCCAAATTAAATTCCTGTAGAGGAGGTTTCTGTACCAGTTGATATGAGCTCAAATCATAAAATTTAAAGAGAATTAGATAGCCGGACCAGTATCTCGAAACTTGGGTATTTTGCTAACAACAGAGTTGATTTTTTTATTTCAGGGGAATTCACAGACAAGCGTAGATGAGATGGATTATACAGATCCAGGGCCGAACACTAACCCGAGAAGTAGTTTTCTGCCAACCCCTCCTCCTGCTCCTGTTCCGCAAGGTTAAATGAGATAAAACCTTATGGATTATAATAAATAATAGTGCTTTAAGTTCTGGTTTTCCATATGTATAAACGTAAATGTGTTACTTTGGATGAATATCATCTGGATGAAGTTTTAAGGAGCTTGAATTTGCCCATTCAGTTCAGACTTGAGAGTGGTGGAAATGTTATAGAAATTTGTCTATCATCTTTTTTTATTTTTTTTTATTTTTTTTTTGTTGTTGTTGTTTTCAATGTATGAATGATTCAGATGGTGTGGATGGTTGATGTCATCCTTAGTGTTGACTGTTGAGGACTTTTGATTTTGTGTGATGAGATTAGTCCTAGGTGGGCCCAGAACGAGAGCATTGGGACCCCCTGGTTCACGAGAAGAGAGCATCATTAGGGTTGCCACCGATTCCTACACGAATTATGGTGGTAGGAGGGGCCAGGGGGAGTTAATCTTGTAGCCGACTACTCTGACGAGGAGGAAGCCACAAGTGTCCAATTGCGCTCATTCATTCCTTAGTCATTACGGAGTTGGGCCAGTTTTGGACGAAGCTGACTTGGCACGATATGTGAATGGAATGGACACTTGAGTGAATTTCTTGTTGGGGATCGGCAGTTCAGTTGACATGATTGATGAAGGGCTGTAGGATGATGATGTGACCAGTTCAATTCAATTCAGAGTCCAGATTCCAGACTATCCATTGTTTGGGTTGCCCATTATTCTCTAAATCCATGTCCTCCCTCTACCCTCTAGTTTCAATTTGAAATTTCAAATTTGTCCATTCTTTACAGGTACCAAAGAGCTTTTAATTCTTTGCTGAAACCGTAAAACTTGCAGCATGGAAAAAGTTAAGTCTACATGTGGCTGTAGGGTAGTCTTTTAAAGGCCAAATTATTATACTTCATAGTGGAAGGTTTCCCTGGACTGGACGAAAAAAAAAAAACAAAGAAATACTTGAGCTATAAGTATCACCCTTTTTCGGATGAAGTTAAGTTTTTATTTTCCCAAACAAACTGAAAGGAATAAATGACAAAGCTTTTTCTTTGTAAAAATGAAATTAAACAGATCAAGAATTTCGATGTGAAAGTTTCTCCTTCCATCTTACGGAAAAGAAGAAAAACAAACAGCCCCCATGATAAATTGATGGTAAACCACTAACCATGTCCATGTGACGGAGTAGCAATTTACTTTTGATTTTCCCCTTTTTTTAGAGACCTCTCGTCTTAATCTTATCACAGCACTGAATATTTGAAAGGGTACTTTGGTCAAAACTCAAAAGCATGGTCACCGGCTTGGTTTCAGATTTGTGAGTTTGAGAGCAGAACTACATTCAAACTTATTTCAAACAAAAAAAATCAAAAGATGGGTAAGTACATGCACTCACTTCATGGTTGCTTTCTGGGAATCACCGAATAAAGAATCAATGAACCAACAAAGTGCACATTTCTTTTTTTTTTCTGTAGATAAAAAGAGGCATATAAGACAAGGGCCACCCACCGGAGTGATCGTGGACTATTATTAGAGTTGGGGGACGGCCGGACGGGGAACTCTTCTAATATAATATTGCCTTTGACAATCTAATCCAATTCATACAAACAAACAAACAACTATTGTCCGATTTGTGCCGGACAATGACGCCTGCCATTCAAGCGTCAGAGCCACCAACTCTTAGGTTTCAACTCTCAAGTGGGATATAAAAGGGCTCCTGTTTGAATTTCGAGTTCGATCCACAGATTCACAGATAAGGTTGTAGTCTTGTAGACCGCTTCACTCTTATTAACCTAACGCTACAGCTATGAGCTACTTTACCTACTCAATTCTTCTAACCTCCTCTCCCTGTAAGTCAAAATACTTCGTTTGTTATATTGATTGCATTTAAAACAGTCTCAAACAGCGCCATATCCTTCGCCGAGGTGGGGATCTTAGTTGTGGTCCGCGCCGCACCATGTAAGGCGGAGATGCGTTTGTTAGGCATTGCCTAATTTCCATTTTCCACCCCGAATATTCTCTGCTCCCAAATAGCGTCTATTATTCTTTATCGTTGAGATTTGATTTTCGAGCAGTCAGTCCACTTGGTGCATGGTTAACGGTTGCCCACCCATTTCTTTTTTCTTTTATTTTTTTTTTCTTAGCAGTTTTTTTTTGTGCATGGTTAAATTCGATTCCAGAGAATCAATTATTTGAATAATGAGGCTTTTATTCTACTATTATGCCAGAAAGATATGATATCTAAAAATAAATCAACTAGAATCATAAACGTGATAGCCAATCAGGTGTTATTTATCAAAATTCATAAGTGGGTTTTGATTCATCAAAATTCATAGATTTTCCTGAGTTTTCAATTGAATGTGATTACGTTTTGTATGAAAGAAAAGGTAATGTAAAGGAAGGGCAGAGTAATAGGGAAACCTATACAAGGTTTGTAAAGGTTTTCCTACCTTTCCCTAATTCTTCCTTCCAACCAAATACAACATAATCAATACTTCTTTTCCTAATTCTTCCTTCCAACCAAATACAACCTAATCAATACTTGGGGCTTGTTCATTTACTCTGAAGAGTTTTTCTTTTCTCTGAATTCTGAATGGAGAGAATGTTGTTTTGAATTCTAAAAATTATCAAATATCCATTTTGACCTCATATATAAGAGTTTTTGTTTGTCTTTTTGGGAGTATCATTAAAAAACAAAAAGTTGTATGATTGTACTTTAAGAAATAAGAGATAAGAAGAAACAAACAACCATTTTTCTCTTACAATTAAAAGATTCTTCTTAAGCTGAGCCCACACAATTCATATAAATCGCATTTGGTGAAAATCTGAAAAGCCAGTATTACTATTCCAAACACAAAAAAAAAGGCAATTATAAAACTTGTTCCAACTTCCAACAACTTTTTAGTATATATCAAATTTTAAATTTGATTACCACAAAATTCATAAGATCTTTTTTTTAATTTTTGGTAGGACAATTAATTCTCTACAAAGTATAAACATTCCAAACGCAGCCAAGGTCCAAACCTTATAGTGTTGACTAACGCGGGCAGTAGCAGACTGGCAGTGGCAGTGTGGCACACAAGATTGAGGCTATGGTTAAGCCATGAAAATCCTGCTACAGTCACAGTATATTACTTAATCCCATAATCACATAAATGCTTTATTTTGATGCCCAATGGTGAAACCTTAAAAGCACTGGAAAAGCATGCAAGGAGCCTGATTTTATGTGCTATTTAAGACATTTCTCTCACAAATGTTCTAATTTGGTCTGTATCGCCTGAATTTTTTTCTTCCTTCTTTTAAGAAATTGTACTTCTGAGCAAGTTGAATGAAAATGGTTTCCCCACAGATTTTCTTATATAAAAAAATTTAAAAAAAAAAAAAAACTCTTCAAGTGCACTTAAGCCAGAAAACAATAAAACCAATGGTTATGATCACCAGATCAATAAACGATATCCTTGCATATGTGCAGCATCATGTAATGCTTTCTTTATAGAAAAAAAAGTATAGTGCAGTATGATTTGAGGCAATTAAACCCAAACCTTATTGGGCTTACTAGTATCTCCTAAGCACTAAAAACTTTCTTTAATTTGATCCAAGTATTAACCAAATTCTTCTCTTGCATCAAACAAAAGCCTATCCAGCTCTGTCAATGATTCTCATTTGGCATCTGAATTCTGAACAAAGATTTTTGTGGTTGGACACAGACAAAACCACCAGAGTATTGTTCATCCTGAGAACTTCATAAGGGTTGTCCATTTCTACTCGTGTCCACTTTAACCTCACTTCATTCGGAAACCAAGATGCTGTCTGTCCTTGGTTATTGGATGCTACAACCCCCCGAATCTTGCTCACGATGAACATTACCATAGGCCGATAATTCCAGAAGATCCATGTCACGGCCTGGAGTTCATTCAAAGAATTCAAAAAACATGTTTTATTATTTACTTTCCCAAGTAAAGATGTTTAAAATCAAATAGGAGAAATTAATAATGTCAGCAAAGTGCTTCCATGCAAGGTTCAAAATATCGATACCGGTGTATCGGGCTAATCGATACAGTTTTTGGTACTTTTTTTTTTATTTTTTTCGCAACTGGTTCAGGGGAGCTGGTTTAGGCCTCCTCCACACCCTGAACCGGTCAGACCCCTGATACACCCACTGTAGGGGCGTATCGGAGGGGTCCCGAAACGATATGTATCGGCCGATATGGGCCAATACGTGTCGATACTTTGAACCTTCCTTCCATGAGTTGTTTTCCCAAATTGAGATATTCAAAATTGAATAGAGCATTCCCTTGTTAGATTTAGAGCACCTGAAACACGACAGTATGAGCTCTTCTGTATGAGATCAGCTTTAGATAAGTCAGTCCGATTTCCCTTTGACCGATTAACTGTTGCCTGTAACATGGGCATCAGTGAGTTTGTGTAATGCATAACAAGGTTCACTTAAAAAAACGTGGCTCAAACAATAAGCCACTGACGTTACCAAAATATACCCAGGAACCACCCAAATGTACACAAACAAGAGAGCATTCAATGGGAAACCATACACAATTCTAAATAATATTTTGGGAAAGACATTACGTAATATACAAGGACAACTGGAGAACATGGCTTTGCAAAACACAACTCCATGGGTTACAGGGAATACTAAAAAAACACAGGGCACCAACTCCAGAAATGGAGCAATTACAAAGGCTTCTATGATGTGAAAACCCATACCCAAGAAAAAGAGAGGACCTGCAATTTGAAATTCAGCAAATTTCTTTATGCACTGAATTCTACCCATTTTGTAGACATTTTTCCATCTTTAACCAGGTCTAGTGTATAAATTTTCAGAAAATTACAAAGTATTGGAGCCCATCTGTGCCTTGACTAATTAATATAGGGAAAATCTATGATATGGGAAAGATATGGTATCGGAAGAGTTTTGACCAATCAAAACCCACCCATGAATTTTGATAGATAACACCTGATTGGCTACCACATTTATGATATGGAAGGGCTTCATCCATAAGCAAATTATCTTTAGAATTGTGTATGGTTAAACCATACAAATTATAAAAACCTTTACAAAGAAGATTGTGTATGAGGCTATGGTTAAACCATGCACAGAGAAGGGCTTCATCAATAAGCAAGCTGGAATGGGAAGTGTGGGAGAGTCAATGACTGAAGTAAAAAGGCTATCCACTGCTTTCTATAAAAACCATTACAAAGAAACTTGGGCCAGAAGACCTTTCCCTTCAGAAGCAGCTAAGTCTCGATCAATCTATGTTTCTTGAAAGACCTGTTACTGAAGAGGAAATTAAGGCAGCAATCCTAAAAATGGAGGGTGAGAAATCTCCTGGACCTGATGGTCTAACTAATCTTTTCTACATTAAATGTTGGGATGTGATTAAACAAGATCTCTTAAAGGTCTTTCAGGATTTTCATTGCAATGCTTCCTTGCAAAGAAACCTTAATGCCACTTTTGTGACACTGATCCCAAAGATTGAGGGGGCCACAAACCTTAGGGACTTCAGACCAATTAGTCTCCTAAACAGTTTCTACAAAATTCTGGCAAAAGTGTTGGCCGAAAGAATGAAATTAGTGTTGAGTAGTGTGATCTCAAGTGATCAATGTGCTTTCGTCCCGGGGAGACAAATGCTTGATTCAGTTCTGATGGCCAATGAGCTCATAGACTCGAGACAAAGGGAGGGAATTCCAGGGCTGGTGTGTAAACTGGACATAGAAAAGGCCTATGATCATGTTAATTGGAGGTGTTTGGATCTAGTGCTAGAAAATTTTAATTTTGGACAGAAGCGGAGAAATTGGATCAAAGTATGTGTATCCTCACCCAAGTTCTCAATCCTAATTAATGGTTAATCGATGGGGTTCTTTGAAAGCTCTAGAGGCCTAAGACAGGGAGATCCCCTCTCCCCCCTGCTCTTTATTTGCCTTGTGGAGCTTCTTACTCGGTTCTCTCTTAAGGCAGCTGAAAATGGGCTTTGGGATGGGTTTGCAATTGCTCCTCAAGATAAAAAATTTAACATTCTTGCTGATGATACTCTCTGTTTCCTTGATGCCTCAATTGATTAGTTGGAAATCTTGCTAGGGATTCTCTACTGGTTTGAGGTGGTGTCAAGCCTTAAAATTAACCTGCATAAAAGCAAAATCATTCTGATAGGGCAGGTCTTGAACTTGGAGGAATGTGCAAGGGTTTTGGCTTGTCAGGTGGACTTCTTCCCTGTGAAGTACCTGGGGCTTCCTCCTGGGGGTAAAATGCTCCTCCTCTGCTATATGGGATCCAGTCATTGAGAAACTAGAGAGAAAATTATCTTCTTGGAAGGCTAAATACCTTTCAATTGGGAGTAGAGTGACCCTTATAAAGAGCACTCTGTCCAATCTCCCCACCTACTTCATGTCCCTCTTTCCTATTCCAGCCAAAGTTGCCAAAAAAACCACTGAAAGCATGCAGAGAAACTTTCTTTGGAGGGGTTGGGAAGAAGAGAAGAAAATAAATTTAGTGAATTGGGACCAAGTATGCTTACCGAGAAAGCAAGGGGGTCTAAGAATTAGGAAGCTGAAGGTGATAAATACTGCATTACTGCCTTGCTTAGTAAGTAGTGCTGGAGATTTGCTGCTGAAAGAACCTCCTGGTGGAGGGAACTTAATTGCCTCCAAGTATGGGGTGGACTGGGGTAACTAGAAATCTGAAGACCCTCTCTCTAGTTGTGGCTGCTCAGTATGGAAAGGTATCCTAAAAAGTCAATCTGTTTTCCTGGAAGGTGAGGAGTTCAAAGTGGGCAGAGGTGACAGGGTTAAATTTTGGAGGGACCCCTGGTGTCTGAACATCCCCTAGGCTGAAGCTTTTCCATAGCTCTTTCAGTGTGCTGTAGACCAAGAAGTTTCAATGGCAGATTCCTATATTTTGTTCAACAGCTCAGTGACCTGGTTTCCATGGTTTAGAGAGATCTGTTTGATAGGGAACTAAATGAGGTGGTGGGTCTGATGAATCTATTACAGGGCCAAAATATTGATATGCTTAGCGAGGACAAGTGGATATGGAAATGGATTAAGGATGGCAACTTTTCAGCTTTATCATCTAAACTTGGCAGTTCTGGGCCTGTTATCTTTCCATGTACACAAATCCGGAAGGTGGTTTCTCCCTCTAAATCCAATTTCCTGGTGTGGTCTATGCCTCTATGGTGCTTAATAAGTGCCTATCAAAAGTCAGCTTGGAAAGGAGGGGTCTGCAGCTCTCAAACCTTACTTGTGGGCTGTGTAGACTGATGCCTGAATGTACAGATCATCTAAGCATCCACTGTCCAATATCTTCTAGAGTATGGGAGCATTTTCTAAAGTCTGCTGGTGCTGGAGTATGTTGGGTCATGCCGAGATCAGTCAAAGACCTCCTATTTAGCTGGAATCTGGCAGGCTTGAGGAAAAAAGGAAGACTAGTCTGGAAAACAATTTCTGCAGCAATTCTTTGGTCCTTGTGGTCAGAAAGAAACGATAGAGTTTTTTTCTAACAAGTCAAAAAGCCCAGATGAGCTAGTTCAGCAGTCAGTCAGCAAGCTGCTCTCCAGGGTGTCAGTTATTGCTGAATTTAAGCACCTGAATGTAGCTGAGTTGTTTAGTTCTCAGTCCATTTGGAGTCTGTAATTTTAGTTGTTTCTGGGCTTCTATTGTCCGGGAATCTGTTGTACTTTGTTGTTCTTTGAAATAAATCATACCTTACCTTTTCCAATATATATATATATATATATCAGCAAACACATGGAACCATTTGAAAAAGAAAATTGAGCAAACAAATTATAAATGAACAACAAGATAAAAGACAAACCTGTAAAACCTGGCAATTCTCTAATGTGCTCTTGCCACCCTGCAATTTGAGGGGAAAAAAAGAATTAGACAAATGCCCTCATACAGCAATAGCAGAAAAACAATTTCATTAATGATAAGGTCCCCATAATGGCCACCTTCATCCTGTTACTAGACCATTCAAATTATTTCTATTTATCAAAACTACACAAAAACAAAAACTCAAGCACAATCAATAAACAAAAAATGAAGCAGCAGAATTGAACTGTCCATCGTTCTTTAGAGGCATACCATCTAAGGTGAATTAGAAGGAGAATTCGTGGTGTGTGTCCTTCCAAGATAGAACTTGAACAAAGCAAATTGACGTCAATATCACCATTAACCAGGAAGTAACTCATATGAGGATATACTGATCTTGATGCCAAAACAAGGTAAAAACAATGTGCATTTTCTTATATTAGATACCAGTAATTTATTTTTAATCCTTCCCCAGTTAATTCTATCAAAGAAACAAAACACCAGGTCCAATTGAATTGTCAACAACCATGAGACAAATTTGGATTTCTAGAATATCTAGAAAAATGGAATTATTATCCATGCAGTTATTTCGCGAATAGTAACAACAGTAACCCTCAATTCTCACTTTATCTAAGGAAAATATAAGTTCACTTTCACAGAGTGGCATTCCAGAGCATTGGTTTGGAGTAATGGTTTCAGCAGCAGTTAAACAATCAGGATATGATTACAAATCAAAATATTCATTCCATAATATTGAGAGAGAGGTTTACATGTAGAAAGACAACTTGACCTTAATGATTCACTTCTTCAAATCCTACATTTTTTTGTTATTTGAGTTTATGTAATATAAACATTCATGCTCTAAAAGTTTGAATTATGAAATGAGAGAGCAAGTGGTCCCCCTCTTGTACAAAATAAGGCACTATGGGCTACCCCAGATGCAAGTAGATCAGACAGCTCTTAGGCTCTTGTTCCATATTTTCTGATTTGGTGAGATTGTAATGACACAATTGACATCTTAGCAAGATCCATAGTTCATTAAAAAAGAGTGTATCTAGATAAAGAAAAAGGAAGAAGGTTAAGAGTGTGCATTTTTAAAGGAATGACAAGATCATTCATGAAGAGCAGTTTGTAATTTATTTAACTAGCAAAAATAGCAAAGGTTTTCATGCATTATGATAGTAGTAAAGGACTACAATTTCACATTTACTAATCTCATGTCCCTTTGTGTTCTTTATTTGGTCTTGGTTCTCTTCTCTCTTTGGCTACAGGTGGACTCCCTCCTCAAGGGTGGTGAACCTCTTTGATCCAACTTTTTACAGGCAACCAACAGTTCGTGAAAGGATTATGTGGAGAGCCACTAGAGCTGCTGTATTGTTGTCAGTGTGGGAGGAAAGAAACAATAGGATCTTTAAAGGCAGATGTAGATCCAAGGTTATCCATTGGTTGAAATCATGTGATCTTTTTAAGGATTTCTCAGTTGAAGACATTTATAAAAGTTGGGGTATTGTGGCATCTACTACTACTT